TTCAAAGCAACTGACTTGTAAACTCAAATGTGGAAAAGGGTGCCGCTTCTATCTAGTCATTGATTCCAAAACTGTGACTCTGTGACTGGATATGCAGAGTTGCAATGTGTGTGATTGAAAGACAAACCCATTTGTGAATGGAAGTTGCAGAGCTGCAGGGTCGCAGAGTTGCAATGTGTGACTGCAGAGCTGCAGAGTTGCAATTTATGTGGAGAAAGTCACCACTTCTATCTAGTCACCGCTAACTTATTCAGTTGCCGGAGAAGCCAAATTAAATGGCGTTTTCAGCAAATACAGGAGGCATATTCCGGTAAGACAGGGAAACTTTTATGGCCGAAGGCGGTGTTTTCATTTACGGCCTTTGTTTGATAAAGAGAAATGATGAAATAAAATATGGAGATGAACTCTACACCATGTAAGCCCCCGGAACGGAGAAGGTGAACAAGGGATGGTCTGAATAAATCTCAAAAAACATACGAGCTCCTTAGAGCAATTGGGATTAAAAACTTTTATGAGAAAATGCAAGAAAGGATATTTTAGAAATTTCAAAACAATATATCAATCACGTAAAGTCACATGTAAAGTCAGTGTGACACTAAGGAAAGTTTTAGACGATTGTAAGAAAACTTAGGGATGGTTTAAGACTATGTAATTTATAAAGGTACTTCAAGAAATTTGCCCTTAACAAAATTCTGAAATTCGTGGGGTTTTGATTATCAAAATTCTTTGAGTATCATGTATTTTTCCTTTTAGTAGTATTATTTATTTATCTATATATTTTTGTGAGAGTGGGGCACCCAAAACTTGATGCATATGCAAAGCAACAAATCGATATTTATTATCATGGGTGAGCAATTAATAATGTATAATAGTGCAAAGGGGTGGCCATGAGTCGAGTTCTTCACGAGCTATTCGAGCTTGGCTTATGAAAAGCTCGGCTCGGCTCGGTTTCAACCGAGCTCGAGCCCAATTTACAGGCTCGTTTATTAATCGAGCGCAAATAATATAATAAAAATATTATATATAATACTTTTATTTTTATATATAATAATAACTAATTATTATAATTCTTAATCTTTAAATATCAAATAAAAAATATTATATATATATATATATATATATAATTTTTTTATTTTTATCAAACATTTTTTCTCAAGTCGAACTTGATCCGAGCTTTTGTCTCGAGTCGAGATCGAGTTCAAGGTTCTAGCTCGAATAGCTAGCTATTCGGCTAAGCTCAGCTCGAATCCACCCCTATTAATGCATCTGTTGAGAGTGCGGACCTCAAACTTGACATTAATTCTGCCAATCAATTGGTATCATAAGAAAAAGAGTGTTTGTATTCTTCTTGGTTAAATGTCAACCTCATATTCTTTTAAATCATTTCTTTTCTGAAGGGGGCTTTACTCAAGGTTTGTTCATTTTTCGATAAATAGGGTAGGTAAACTGATAGGTCCCATAGGAAAAAATAAATATGTTCGTGCTTCAGAAAATAACAATTCTCTAGAAATTCATTTACTTAGGAAAATAATACTCTCCTCGGACTTGGATGAATTAGTGACACACGCATGCCGAAAATCACTAATATGTGATGAGACATTGTCCTTTCAATAATGTCATTTTTTTTGTGATGAGACAATTTTGTACACCATTACTTGGGGAATAAAAGTATATTAGTAAGTGCCTTTATGGGATAAGTGTTTCCCAAAAAACACTTGCCCAAATAAATGCATTTATCCAGATAAGACATTTATCGAGACATAAACGAGGCCTAAGTTGAAAGATTGATATTCAGGTAGGGGAATGTCCAACATGACAATAAAAACTAATGGTGGTTTTATATATGCATTTGTTTTTGTTGTTAGAGAGGATGAGATTGATGGTTATATTATTTATATTATTTTAATGGACCCTCTAAAGAGGATTTAGCCACAGCAGCATATGGTATTTTAAACATAAGTTGTCACCAGTGAAGCATATTCTTGTAACCATTGAACCAGTATCATCAAAAGTGACTACCAATCAATTGGTATTTATCAAAATTCACAAGGTTTTTTATTGGTCAACGCCTTTTTAATATAATGTCTTTCTGTTAGCATAGATTTTCTCATATTTTAAACATTTTATAAAAATGATGCTTTCCAAATTACAATTTGAGCCTTTGATTAGAGTGGAATAGTGGATAATATTAGGGGTGTTAATGGACCAGTTTTGGGTTGGAATCCATTTAAATCAAAACTAATTGGATGGATTGGATGGACCAACAAGACATATTGAATTGGATCAATCCAAACTTAATGATCCAAAGTATTTATTGGATCGGATTGGACCTGATCCATCTATAATGATCCAAAGTATTTATATTGGATTGAGCCAGCATCTGATCCATTGATATAAGATAAGAATATAGGTGTCAGTGGACCACGTTTGAGTTAGAATCAATCTCAATTAAAATGAATTTAAACAGATTAGATGGTCCAGACATTGAGTTGGTCCAGTCCAAAATGGTCTAAAATATTAATTGGATTGGATAGGACTTGTCCATTTGTAATGGACTCACATTGGACTGAATCGGATTAGACCAAATCCAGTCCGATTGACTTCCATAGATAATATCAAGAAAAATTCCAATCAAAGAGTAAAATGTCTTCAGTTCCTTGTTCAAGACGCCAGTTACAGGACCAGGTTGGATCAACCCATGTATCCAAAATTGACCTAATAATCTAAAAAACCAAAATGCTAAAAAATAAAAATCAATAACAAACATAAAAAATGCAGAAAAAAATAAAAAATAAAACAAAAATTATACATTTCGGGAAAAAAAAAGCAAAAACCGCAAGCAAAACACAGAAAAAAAATAACGAAGTAATGCTATTTTTACTAATGTGATATGTGTTGTTGATTTTAAAAACAAAACTGGTGTTTTGTTTTATTGGGATATTGCAAGAAAATGCTACAAGCCTGATGTTAGAAAAAGGTATCAACAGATTTTGGCCAAAAAGCGATTTTGGGGTGAAAAGGAGTGACTGATTTCTGATTTTTCTGGTCCAGTTTTGAAAACACTGATTGTAACCTACAACAAAAGTGAGGAATATTAATTTGAACAGTGATCAACCATTTTCTTATGAGAACCCTATCTTTAATTAGTCGGTAGATATAGACCTACAAGTTCCTCCGGTGTAGAAGAATTTCGATAAAGAAACAGCACAAATCCACTCAAATATCTAAATCCTAAGGTTCAGTTTGGAAGGAGTACAAATGCAAATATGTACAGCGCAAATACATACAAAATGATACAAAATATAAGGTTTTGCACTCTACATATTTGCATTTGTACTCCTTCCAAACTCAGCCTAAGTGAGTGCGTCATTTCTGCTTGTGTTTCCCCATTAAAGTCATTTTGCTCCACGTATTTTGTTGGTAATAATGTGGGTTGAGTATGGGAACTATTGTGGGTCCATTTGATTTGCAGTCTGAATTGGAATTAGAATCAAAATTTAAGTCTTTTGGAATTAAAATCAGAATCAGAATGGTCTATTTCCATAGTCTGTTTGTTTTATATAAAAATTGGAATGGAAATTGAAATCAGCTGGAATGGGATGGGGAATGTCATTTCATCAGAAATGGGCATGGGATTCAGATTCCACCCAACCAAACATTTAGAATTGAAATGGACAATTCCAATTCTGATTCCAGACCCCTATTCCGGTGAACCAATTGGGGCCTAAGTACCGAAGAGGTAATGCCTCTTTATGAATCATATATAAGTTGTCTACTTTGTTTGACGGTGAAAAGCAAAACTACGTTAATGTTGATCGACAACTGGTATCTCCTTTGCAAAGTTCTTATTCACCAATAAAGTTATCATGCATGTTCATTGGTTTTAAAAAACAACCCAGAAATAGAATCGTTTGGCCACCGGTTCTTGGGTGAAAATGGTCCAACCATATAGTCAAAATCCTGATTGAACAGTTTTAGGATCCAAAACTAGACCCAGAGTCATGACCAATTCCTGAGTCAACTAGTCCGAGCCTCTGGTCTGGTTTTCAAAACCATGACCGGTCATGTTCTTCACCCGTGGTTCGTCCCAGCAAAGCTCTCTTGTCCATCCAGAGGTGTTGAAACAACCATGGTTTTTAAAAATGACCTGGAGATCGAATCGGTCAGGGGTCTGGTTACCGGGTCGAACGGACTGACCGTTCTGACAAAAAAATAAAAAAATAATAAAAATGATCAAAACTGTTCAAATGATTAACTGCCCGGGTCAGCGGCTTGCTGACCAAAATCAAGGGTTTTAGGCAAATTTCCGATTTTGAGAAAAACCAAAACCGGCCACCTGACCAATTCCCGGTTTTTCCAGTCCAACTGTTCGATATAATCCGATTTTGAAAACCATGGTAATAACAAGACCGAAGGGATCACTAGCAATTGGTTTATCGCTCCAAAACAGGGCACTAATGGGTGATTTCCCTCCACAAGGCTCTCCCATTGAGCGGTGACAAGAGTAAGAGATAAGGAACCAAAGTATCTGGAACGAGAAAAAGACCCATGAGCTCTTGATTAGTGTTTGTAAATTATTATTGATTTTCTCCATGTCTCACTTCTTCTGTTGCCTAGACCATTCACGTCATGCTAATTACGATAAAATTTAATCTAACATTATCAGGCTAATTAATTACTTGGTCTACTTAAACTTTTCCCCTCCATTGATCATGATAGCCGGTAATTTTTCATAGGGAGAATTAATGACGGTTCAGTCAAAAGTAGTGTCGGGATAAGTATGTCAATTTACAGGCGGGCGTTGATGCATAAAATGTGAGTTGTTGACCTTCTGAATGTATGTTTATACTAGAAGGGCATGACATTGACAATTTTTATCAAGTTACAAATTAAGTTATGAAATACGAAGCCATGCATGACAATAATTTTTTTTTTTTTWAAAAAAAAAAAGAGTTAATTAATATTCTACAAAGTGTAAAGTTGATTGTTATGTACAAGGCGCACTAACATTCCGATACAAATGTCAAAATATAATCACAAAACCCATCTCTAACCAAAGTAAGCATGCAAGAACCAGACCTGCAGAGCTCGAGCCCAATTAACCTCCAAAGTTGGGGCAAGTGTGTTTTTTCTCCTGGAAATTAAGGGAAAAGAAAAGATTAGATTGGTTGAATTAATATTAGGGGTTTGTAGCTAGCCTAATGGACATATATAGTGAATAGACAGAGACGCGCGACAGAGACTCACAGTTAGCAGCATTAAGGATAAGATTCCAATCTACATCGACTGCGAGTGTATATATAAATATCCATCACATCCCTGCTTGCACAACCAAGAGAGAGTAGTTATTTTGCAAAAAGTCTGAGGATGCAAGCATGTCGCCGAGCACCCCAAGTTCTGAATTTTCACTCCAATCTTCCATAGCTCCACTGAGCATCTTGCAGGCCCCATGCCGTCTCCCCACCATCACAAGCTCGAACTCAGCCTTTAGAGATCGAATTAGAAGCAGAGCTTGCTCCACATCATTTACAACCTCCTCGCGGAACACTGCACAGTCATTGTAGATGTTCTTGAGTCTAAATTCGTGTAGGACTGATTCGTCGAGCTGTTTTTCCCTCTCATTATCGTTGCCGTCGTCGGATATTTGAAACCTTATGACGGTGACACTCAATCCGGGGTGGGCGGACATCCGACTGCACAGTGCTAGTGTCTCACGATCATCTGGTCCGCCAAAGAAGATGAAAAGCACGCTGTAAGAGAAGTGTCCACGCACCACAAGGCGACAACATTTGTAACCCTGACCCACAAGGAGGCCGACGGAGCAAGGTGCAACGGTGAGTACGTTCTGGATAAGGTTAGAGAAGGCAGTACCACCCCCTGCACCCACATTGGTGTCGTTCCCTTGGAATGGCAACAGAATTAGAGAAGCCCTGTTATCATGAGCTATCTTACAAATATCCTCGTGCATGGTTTTGTAGGGGGCGATGATGGTGAAAGGACGAAAGCCGACAGTCCCATGGGAGCAGTCTGAGTACTTTCTGAAGGCACTCATGATAAGATCGGAGGTAGTTAGCTTTCGGGAGTCACACCTGTAAATGGTGCTAGGATCGGCTACCAAAGCAAGAGATCGACCGACCAACTTAACCAGGTGGAGCACATAGATGTAGATGGGGCTTTCCGAGGTTGGATGGAAAGCTTCGATGAGGGAGGTATTGTCGTTAACACTTCTGTCGTCGTGGAGGCAAGCGACGATTCGAAGCTCATGGTTGGGTCGTGCGTTTTGGATTGTTCCCGCTGCGTGTGTGGCGAAGTACCTTGGGGGCTTGTAGAGGCTTGTGAGCAACGGCGTTGTTAAGGCTGTGACCAAGAGGTCGTTCAGTACGAATATAGTAAAGCATTCGTCGTCGATCACCTGCGCGCATTAAGCATTAATTAATTAAAAGGGATTAAACAAACAATCAATCAATTAAAGGGATTAAAATAATGGAAAGTTCACGGCCGGCGGCCGGCCGGCCGGCCTCAGTGCCTCACCTTAGAAATTCTCCACATCCGGAACGCGCTTACGTTGATGATGCCCCTGGTATTCAACATAAGAGCCAGGCACAGTGAATGTTGAGCGTTGAGGTTGCAAGGTAACATAGTGCCTATCAGCTTCCCAACGCGTCCGATGAAAATGATGAATTCCAGAACTGCCAAATTCTTAACATTCCGTATCTTGAAAATATTGAAGAACAAGCCACATCGAAGAAAGAAGAAGGGAAGAAGAATCTCTCCCAGGATGATTTCAGTCCTTTCCACTACGGTCACCCCCAGTGTTGAGCCCTCGGGTATAATTACCCCAAGGGCAAAAGCCCCACTCATAGCAGTGATACCTATGACGTCGCCGATGAATCCAGTCACCAACACTCCCAGCAGTATAATCACGATGGAAGACTGACCCACCGCATTTCCCTCGGGAGTTTTCCTGATAATCCCTACAATTCCCGGCCGTAGCACGTAGATTGTACAAACGAGAAATGCAGCCACGGACACGATTGCCGAAATTGCGCTCACCAAGTTTTTCTGCCGGAAAACGGTAGTGCCTGCTATGAAGGACCATGACACCATGTCGTTCACTATTGCACAGGACATTGCAAGCTTGCCCAATTCAGAGGTCAGCAGATTCAGCTCATCCATTACATGAGCAATAGCTGGGAAGGAACTTATTGCCCAAGTTAGAGACAATAATACGAGAAACCATGGCTCCAACGGTACCAAGATGTATGAGCGTAGGTAGTGCAGGCAAAATGTTATGAGCATGAAAGGAATTACAAAGTTTGACAGACCGATCTTCAATGCATTTCTATTGGGCTTCAATATTAAATTTGTTTCCATCTTCACACCGACCAAGAAGTACATGTACAGCATCGCTAACTCAGATAATGTATTCAATACCGCTTCTTTGGTTTCATCGTACACCAGTCTCTCAAGAGTCTCACTCTGCCCTAACACCGTCGGCCCCAACATTATACCACTCTTTACCAGTTACCACCAAAGAAATTTTTATATATTAGAACAGGAGACCCAGGAGCAAGAAAACCAAACCATGCAACATATTATATTTATTTTTATATTAATTAATTAAAGGCAGGGTGAATGTTAGACAAAATAAAGATGAGAATTAATGTATGCAGCAAATATATATTAACAGAAAAAAAAATTACTTACGAGGAAACTTGCAATGAATTTGGGTTGCTTAAGAGGTTTGATGACGATGTGGATTAGACGGCTGACCAGCACAACTATGAAAATTTGAAAAATCGAGATAGGTACGACGTAATTCAGAGGATTGTCTCCAGACCAAATCCCTCTAGAGTTGATGTTTAAATTTTCCGATTTACACACCTCATTCATTGATGTCAAATTCAATGGAAGGTTGGGTGGTTGATTCTGATTCTGGGAGCTCATTTTCTCTCTCTCTCTCTCCTTTTGTCCGTGGGCGAAGGATAGGCCTTCACAATGAGGAGGAGGAGAAGGAAGAGGAAAAGGGGGGCGGCAGGCGGCGGTGGTGGTGGTGGAGGAGGAGGAGAAGAGGGAGTCACTGTCACAGGAGAGAGAGAGAGAGAAAGAGAGAGATGGGGATGGATGGTTAGCGTGGTCTAAGGGCCCCAAACACTTTGAACGTGTCGTAAAAGCACTCTCCTCCGGATCTGCTGCTGGTGATGAGCTCATGACCATTAGTCCTTATTTTCGTTGAAAACATTTTTAAAGACAAAAGAATACTATAGTGTTCCCCTCTCCCGAGGCGTGAGAGAGTTATAAATGGTGGTGTCGTGGCAAGGGGCAACAAAATCATAAATAAAAGGGGTGGGATTTGAAACAGGAAGAGTGAATGATGGATAGGGGCAAAGAGGTAAATTGAAAAGGCAAAGATAAAAATCTCCAAAGGATAATTGCAAAGGGTAATAAGGTAAATGAGGAAAATTGAATGGATAAGGGAGAAAGAAGATGGGGATTGGATTGGGATGGAAATAGGATTATTTATTTATGGGTGGTGGTGGAAGGACCGAGATGGAGATGGAGATGGAGATGGAGATGGATGACTCTCTCCCTGCCTCATCTCATCATGGCTTGGTTTGGTTAGTTGACGTGGGCGTAACATGCATGAGTTCGAATTCTGTGTACCCTCCGATTCACAGGAAGTGTGCACATGCAAATGAAAAATGAATATATCACTTTATTAAAATAACAGGAATTTAACAAAATGCACGATATTTTATTTTTCTCATTCCAACTCCCCTCTCACTGTCTGTCTTTTGAGCAGTGACAAGCGGTAAAATCATCTTCTTCTTCCTCCCTTCCCGTTGAATGGAAGCGTAGATATGTGGATAGGAAAACGAAAAATCGGATTCTAAGACAAAATCAAACGGAACACTCGGTCTTGCATTGCCACTGACATATTAGCTGATTTCATGCCTTGTGAGATCATTAGTTTTTGCTCTAGTATCCAGACTTTCAGGTAATCTTTTGCTACCAACTTCTGTGTGTCAGCTTTAGACCGACTGTAATCCAAACTTTGCACTATAGCCGATTATTTCTCGGATTATTCAAGTCTATAATTTCATTTCAAGCGTGTAAATGCTCTTGGAAAATCTAAGTGTACTTGGTGAGGATTGGGGAATTCTTTAAAGCTACCACAAATGAATGTTAACTGTGTAGTTTTGATTGCCCTATTTTTATTTGTTTTTGAATAGGGAATAAGGGAAAGCAAAAAATGAAGGTAATGGCAAACAACTAATTTTTTTCATTGTCCCTGGATGGATTTTTCTTCATGCTTTCCTTTTCTCCCCCTCAGAAGTCAGAGCTCAACCTACTTAATGATCTTAATTTTTGAAGGTTAGGCTTACTTTACTTTGATAGCAACCGTAGTGACTGATTCCTTGCCGAAGTATTATTAGGTTTTTATTGTTTTTTGTCTTTTAGTGGCTGGTTCAATTAGTTAGACCATTATTAACCGAGCAGCCCCATTAAAAAACACATCTTTCATTGGCAGGTGCATGCTTCTCGTGATCCAAAGAGTCCATAGCGTGGCTGCTGCTGCTGCTTCTTCTTCTTCTTGGCCCTTTTCCAATTCCCATGCCCTTGAGCTCCCTAAACTAGCTCCAGAATTTGGGCATGTCTCTTGCCACAATGGGATCCTCTCCCTCTTTATTCCTTCCTTGTCACATAGGGTTCGAATGCGTGAGACAATGAATCATTAATGTCAATGTCTTAAAAACTGATCCGGTGGTCAAACCGCTTTTGCTTCCAAGTGTTGGGTCACAAATTTCACCATTTAGGTTGAATGAGTTAGACCATGCAATTTCAATAAAATTTTATATTTTTAATTATTTGTAATATATGCATTATTTTATATTTAATTTATTATTTTTAATTCAGTTTTTAATTTTTATTTATAAAAAAATGTTAAAATTGCAATTTGAGGAAAAAAAAGTATTCTGGCCAAAATAACAGGGCAAGGGGCCTACAACACATTGAGATACATGGATCTCAAAAAGTCACCCCAATTGGACATCTAACTGCAAAGTTATGGTCTTCAGAAGTTTGTATATGATCCAATGAATGAGTCAAATGGATCAATGGGTTTTAACCAAATCCTTACCCAAACTGAACTCGTAATCATGGCTATGTGACGGTTCAAATGATTTGACTGTTTGGTTCAACAGTGGGTTGAAAACAATGATAAATAGGGTTGGTTCTACCAATTGATCGAACCGAATTGAAATGATTACAATGTTAAAATTTTGTCCTTTTGGATCTAATTTCAAATCGGTTATTTTGTTAATAACATATATAGATGTTTTTTTTGTTTTTTATAACTTTTATTATATTTTATTTCTAAAAAAGTAATTTCAATATATAATATAAGATAATTTTAGTTAAAACATTTGATTTCTCAACATATAAATAGTTTATTATTTTTATTAAGATTATGTTATTAAAAATATGTATTTATAATTAAATGTATAATATATTAAATAAATCAATATTATATTAATATTTTCAATAATTTTTTTTTTATAATTGGCTCCATTGGATCAGATCTAATTGTCTCAAGAACCAGTCAGTTTGGTTCTTGATCTAAAATTACAAATCCGATAAGATCCAGTTCGGTTCCGGATCCTTGATGTTCCCTATCGGGTCAGTCTGGTTCTACTAGACCAATTTAGACCCAACCTATTAATAGCCCTTCCTAAAACGAAAGATAGATTCTTTTGGTACAATCGTGTTTGACCCAATGGATCCAATTATAATTTGCCTGCTTTGAGATTTTATACATGCTACCGGCTGCGGCTGCGTAGTGCTACTACCGTTGCCTCCACCGACCATAATCGCCATTCGCCACCATTATCTCCACCATTTGACGTTGCCACTAGTTGTGGCCCTGTCCTCCCAAACTTAGAGAAAGAAATTAAATAACGAGAGAAAAAAAAAATGGTGTGAGAGATAAAACAAAGATGGTTGCCATCGGTCAATTGGATGGAGAATGGAGAGAAAGACGGTGAGAGAGAAGAGGCCCTTCGTTTTTATGAATGAATGGAAAATTAAATGTTCATTTTGGTAAAGTTTTAAATGAAATATACTGAAATGATAATTTTGGACATGTATTATTTAAATATCAACATATATTATATACTATATATTTAGGGTCAATTTAGTTTGCAGTTGAAATTGGAATCAGAATGATATATTCTTATAATTTGTTTGGTTTGGAGAGGAAAGAAAATAAAAATTAAAATCAACAAGAATAAAATTTCATTTTCAATATAGAGCTTGGGAATGACCATTTTCTTGAACAGAAGAAGAATGTCTATTCCAACAGGAATGAAAATGAGATTCGGATTTCATCCAACCAACTAATTGGAATCGAAAAAAACCATTCCAAATCCAATTTCGAATTCCTATTCCTGCGAACCAAATGGGGGCCTTAATGTATTATGTCTCAGGTCGGGTTTGAATCGGTTCTAATCTGGGTAAAACAGGTTCCAACCAATGATAATTGGACAAAAACCAATCCACGGTACAGATACTGGAACCAGAACCGGTTCAATCGATTTGAGTCTATTGACTCGGACCCGACCCATTGACAATCTTAGCCAGGCATGCATGGTGAATGTGTTGTTGGATGTAGATCTTGCCACATGGAAATTAGAGTGGGACCCTCTAGATGCAAACGTGGAGAAAAACGAGGAATCACCCAATAGATTGAAGGGACCCACGCCCACCTATCCATGTGAACAGTAAATCACCGGCATGATATGCCATACTTATATGATGTCATCAGTGGTGTCTCTTGGTGCGCATGTCCAGCACTACTGGACAACATATTCTTTACTTGGCTCGGTTGATGGGATATAGAATAATGTCCGGTGGGAGGGTGGGATACCAAAAGTAGACCATGTCCATATGAAACATTGAAACTCCTCTCTATGGTCTATACCATGTGCGACAACTGGAATTGAATTGAGGATGCTAATCCAATGGTTTCCTCATTTTCGATGTACATGATCGCTCGTCAATATGTCGCCCATTTGTCGTCAGATTGGGATCCACTTCAATATGCAATACTACTACGGTACTACCTATCAGTTATCACGGGAGGAACATCTTACACCTCTGTTGAACGAATCCGGAATTCCGACCATTATGATAGGGGTACAACAGTAATTTGGTGGAGAAAAAGCGTCTAGTAAAGGTGAGGGCAATAAAGAGATTTCCAGAATTGTCTCCGGGCAATTGAGAGAACACGGAAAAAGGAGGCAAAGCCAAAAGAAAAGGCAAACCTTCGGCTCCAAGAAAGCGATGGCCGAGCTTGGGAAAGGACAAAGGAGCCAGTTTGTGTTCGGGAAGGTTCTTCTGCCACGTGTCCAAATTAGCGGTCAGAGACGCGCCACGGCAATAAAACCCGCCACGTCACTGATATTTAAATGATTTAGAAATATCTCGAGAAGGCTATAAATAGTCGTGTAGCTTTTGGCGAAGAGAGTTTTCGTAGTCCCCAAGAAGTTGAAGAGAAAGAGAACCAGGATACCAAGAAGGAAGACCAAACAAACGCATATCGGAGCGAGCTTTGGACGACACAGAACCAGAGAAGTGAAGTTTGCATGTCGTCGCTGATCAAAGAGAGGTGAATCGCTTTCGAGTTTCCTTTTTCGATTTTTCCCCCTTGTTTCTATTTCGTGTCAAAGTGGATTTTCTTTATACCCTTTTTTGGTTGTCTTCGTTGTGTGGAATCCAAATCTATGTTTTAGAGGGATTTCGTGTCATACTTGGAAGTATAAAATATTTAGACTTTGTGCGAAATCTTGGTTTGGTTTTGATTCTGGCCTCATCATCTTCGAGTACTCTTCCTTGTTTATGGAGTTTCCCCTGCGATTCCTGGTAAGATTTGGTCTTGTCATGCTCCTATTTGTCGAAAGGGCTTTGCTTCAGATTCCTGGTAGGAGTTAAAAACAGTCACCAAATAGAAGTCTTGGACCGCTCGGGATATTGTTTCCGTCCTATTAAGTTTAGGGTTTTTCTATTTTACACACAGTATTGCATGTGCACAAGGTCTTGAGTGCAGATTGTCATTGATTCTTCGAAACAATTAATATGGGCGCTTGTGAACTGGTATTTAACTCTACTTCTCTCCCCTTGAATCATGGCAGAAAGAGAAAGTCGCGAAGTAGACGCAATGGGTGTGAGTCCATAGCAGAGAGACTTTCTAAGTGGAAAGAGTTCAACGACCAACTTGATGTTGCCGGTGATGAAGGAAAACTGATTCGAAAAGTACCTGCCAAGGGCTCAAAGAAAGGATGTATGAGAGGAAAAGGAGGTCCCGAGAATTCACGCTGCAACTACAGAGGCGTGAGGCAACGGACGTGGGGAAAGTGGGTTGCAGAGATTCGTGAACCGAACAGAGGAAGCAGGCTCTGGTTGGGAACATTCGCGACTGCCCTTGAAGCTGCTCGTGCTTACGATGAAGCTGCTAGAGCTATGTACGGTCCCTGTGCACGCCTTAACCTTCCGGAATGCTCTACATCGAAGGATTCGTCATATTCCGCCACTACTCCATCAACATCCGGTTCCACCACTACTCCATCAACATCCGATTCCACCACTACATCCAACCATTCCGAAGTCTGCTTGTCCGAGGAATCCAAGGCGAATGTCCCCAAGGTAGAACCTAAACGTGAACTATGCGAATTCGGAATCAACAGTCGTCCCCATATTGCCATGGAAGCAGATGCTCCTATGAGTATAGTCAAGAAAGAGTCTAAAGAGGAGGAGTCGGTACAACCCATGAATCCAGATCTGCTCAGAGGGTACGAGACCTCCCAGGACCCAGTACGCTCCGGTCAATTCAATGGGAACGGGTGTGGTCAAGAAGATATGCAGAATTTCCCAACGGAAGAACTGTTTGATATGGAAGAGCTATTGGGAATGCTAGATAACGACACCCCTGGACCCGAATTGCAGCAGGAGTTGGGTGTTGTCTCTGACCAATTGCAGTGTGGGAGTCCGTCAGATCTTTCTTATCAGCTGCAGAACCCAGACGCAAAGTTGCTTGGGAGCTTGTACCATATGGAGCAGTCACCCGCGAGCATGGATTACAGTTATGATTTCTTGAAGCCTGCGGAACAAGATCCCATGAAACAGGAGGGAGATTACAGTTACGGGTTGTATGGTGAACAAGGATCGCTGGAGTTGGGTTTCCCTGATTTAGGTTTTTAGGACTAAAGAGACAAGGCAGCGGTGTACACTTAATTGATCTTGTTTTGTTATTCTTTGTTCTTTATAATGTTTTTGGGTGGTCTTTCACTCAACTGTTGGGACCAGAGGGAAGTAAGCTGATTCTCTATAGGTTTTTAGATTGGAGAATTTGGCTGGTGCATTTGTTTTTCCATCCTCCGGTGGCCTTTCTTTCCCCTTACCTTCTTACCAACTGATACGGCATATGTTGTACAGGTGATCAGGTTATCTCTGGGTTCTAATTCATTTCTTGTAAATATATATAAAACGAAGAAACACAACAGAAATAGAAAGCCAGACAGAGTAGCATTWGTAGAGAAACTCTTGGACTTTGTGATGAGGATGTTATCAATTCAATAATCAATATGGTTGTAGTCTTTTTCCTGTATATGAATTTCTTGTGTTCTTCCTTCTTTGTGTCGGAGGATTGAAAGCTCCAAAAGAGAGAGTTCATGGGGGATATTGTATCAATCTTGTTTGGCGTTTGGTCTGCTGCTATACTTTAAGGCCCCGTTCGTTTTCGGTAAATTATTTATCCGGGTAAATGCGCACCTACCACACAGGTAAGCGCTTCCTACTCGGTTTAGTGTATTTACCTCCTTCCTAAAAGATCTCCCTCCTTAAAATTTAGAAAAAGAATCCCCATAAGAGTCAACCAACGGAGAAGCTAATTAGTCGTGCAACTATATTGCCTTCAAAAAAGGAGAAAAGAAAAGCCATAGGGTCACATTTTAATTGGGACTCACCGATGTCACTTAGGCCTTACCCAGGTAAGTGTTTCTGTTTCTTAGATAAAATTGATACTCTTAACTTATTTATGTTCTTTTGGCTTATCAACGTAAAAGGATTATAAAGGTCGTCGACTTAGCCGGCGGCGGTTGGAGATCTGTATCGTTCATCATTGGTGAGTTTTTTTCTTAATTAATTTTCTTTTTTGGTTTGTTTAATTGATTCTTCAGCCTTTGAGGGTATAAGATTTGGAACAGTCGGGGTGGAGATGGCGGAGAGATTTGCTATCAGATCCTCTTTTATAAATCGCAGAAGATTGATTAAGTAGACCGATTTGTGATTTGAAAACTATAGAGGTATGGGTTTTCTTCGGTGCTGGATGTTTTTTTTAAACAGAATGTTCAGGGAAGAAGCTAATGTTTGCCCTTAAGCTTCTTAATAAGAGTATTTTTGACTGAACAAAATCATCTAGTAACGGGCTTTAAAGATTGATTTGAGGGAATTTGTATTTTCCATGACCTCGTATGTATTTGCAAAAGAAGACGAGAAAGTTGATCAACTTTTTCACCTTACCATAATGGTAAACAAACGGGCTTTAAAGATTGATCAACGGGCTAATAATTAATGACATGTATTAGATTGACACGTATTGAAAATTTGGGTACCCGAGCCAAAAGAAGAAAATAAGCACTAAAATCTATTTTAACAAGTAAAATGCACTCTCAGATCCTATTACAACAATAACTAGAGATGGCAATTTTACCGACAAAATCGGGTTTTTGATCCGATCCACCCCGAAAGGGGCGGATTTTTCCCATGCATACGGGGTGGGTTCGGGGAATTTTCTTTTGCCCCAGACCGGGGACTGGTTGGGGAAGGGTCTGCTTATAAATCCTCGAACCTGCCCCAATCCCAGTTGTAAATTATAAATATACCCTTATATAATGTATTAAGGTATCCCTACTATTTCATCTTCCTTCAACCTTCACAGTTCGCACATACAGAGACAGAGAGTCACTGAGTCTTCCTTCAACCTTCGTGCAACGGCCGACCGTTGGGCGCTGCCGCCGCCATAGCACAGAGGAACTGTCGACTGTCGTAACACAGAGGAACCGCCGCACGGCCGTAGTGATACACTCTTTAGTCTTCGTCTTCGAGACTTCTCACTTTCTCAGTCTGGCAGTCTTCCTTCGAGTTTCGCAGTGAATCAGTCTCAATCACTCTTTGTTCTTCATCTCCCCGTTTGTAACAGATCTAATAACCCAGTTCTTCATGTCATCGTTCATCTCTCTGTTTGCTCTCCGGTTGTCCACCAACCACTAGGCACCGTCGCCACCGTAGCAGCAATTTTCCCAGCCTTCCTTCGTTATTCGATCTTCACTGTGTTTCTTGGTACTCTCATTGTCCATTACCAGCCTTAAACCTTTATTACAGTTTGGTTTTCTATTTTTTGCTTCCTCCATTTTTCTTATCAATTTATCATGTTGATTGCCACAGAGAAAACTAATGAGAGTAGATAGGATAGAAACCAATAAAAAAACGTGTACAACTACATAACAGCAGTCCCTGTACAAAATTGCATCTCCAAGCCTTCTCCTCTTGGTCTTTAATGAATACAGGAGGTGATGATTGGACGCTTCTGTCACCACACAATAGTGCCAAATTCAATTCAAGTAGAGCAAAATGTATGAATTACGCATGATTCTAACACAATATTTCAACAGCATAGCAAAATAGAACTCAATTGAATATTGGACTAGGAACATAACTGATGAGGACGGATTTGGTCCTCCAATGACAATGTGACACCTAGCACCTCGTGACAATTAGGTGCAGCCTCATTGACAACTGAGTGCTAAACTTTCAGGCAGCTCACTACAGGCAACTCGCCACTTACAGGCCCACCGTTTACAAGCAGCTCACTGCTTACAGGCAGCTCGTCGCTTACAAGCAGCTCACTTCCTAATCAAACTGACCACCGCATGACAACCCCGAGGAGCTCACCATCATACCCCGCATTTTACGAGGTCGTAACGGCTATATTAGCTCACCCGCTCCCCGGTTCAAACGGGAGCGGGCGACCTTACTGGCTAGTGGTGTTTTACCCACCTAACACGCAAACGGATCCCATCACAGCGAGGATCCAGGAACTGCTCCACCAACCCACGGGGACTCCAGTATATAAAGACTTCACCCCCCAGGGGCGAAGGTATGTTTTTAATGTATGTGCATGCATAATCTTTGCTCACTAACTCACTGAAATCATTTTCAAGCTCTCTACTACTACCCCTGAGTGCTAACTTAGCCATCGGAGTGTCCCCGCCGGGTAAGCCACCCCGGGATCTTTGACTCCTCTCTTGCAGGTAACCCAGTTCTCGTCATTGCTGACAGTCAGATCGCCTCTAGCAGGGAGCCGCCGAATTACGCCACATCATTTGGCAACGTCTGTGCGCAACGCTACAAAAAGCTAAGTTCTCATTCTACAAAAGCTAAGTCCTCTTCTCCCAGAAAATAAAACCTCATCAATCCTCTTCGTGAGGTCCCCTCTACAAAGATGAGTTCTTCGTGGCTTCCGCGGGAGTTAGCGGCCAACATACCACATGGGCGCCCTTGCTGGTCGAGCCTTCCAAGGCTCCCATGCGAGTTGGTGACTTAAAGTCAGTAGTGCTGCCCCCGTTGGTCGAGCTCCTAGCAGCTTCTTGTAGGAGTGGATGACCGGCACCACGAGGCTGATGCAATGCAATCATAGCTCTAAGGCGCCACCCGACGACCTACGCACCGACCTGGCAACCTGGCTCAGGCGTGACCTGGCACATGCACCGACCTGGCAACCTGCAAGACGTTCTCGCCCACGTGACGAACGATCTGGAGGGTGGTCAACGTGCATTGTGCTTACCCCCAGGAATCTTGAACCACTTAGACGACCTCGCAGAAATCTTGGATATGGTGCATGAAGCCCACGCCAAATAATGCCTATATAAAGGCATCAACCCCAGAAACAAGTAAGCAAGTTCTAGCTCTCAGACTTTGTGATTTTTAGCTCGCAGTCTACTATGAGAGTACTGATTTAAGCACCGAAGCGACCTCACCGGGTTAGCCACCCCAGGTCCTCTGACATTTAGTTCCTTGCAGGTCTCTAAAGAGCAACAAAGCTCATCAATCCAGCTCGGCACCTAGTCAGCCCAACACCTCACAGGCAGCTCGGCACCTGGTCATCCCAGCACCTCATAGGCAGCTCGGCACCTGGTCAGCCCGGCACCTCACAGGTAGCTCGACACCTAGTCAGCCCAGGACCTCACAGGCAACTCGGCACCTGGTCAGCTCGGCACCTGGTCAGCCCGGCACCTCACAGGCAGCTCGACACTTTATAAGACCCAGTCGCCTCTTCGGATGGGCAAAGTTCAGGAATGGACTATGAGTCGCTCCCAAAGCCTAAGGGCCACAATACTGCTCAAGATCCAGTCGCCTCTTCGGCATGGGTAAAGTTCAGGAGTGGACTACGAGTCGCTCCCAAAGCCTAAGGGCTACAATACTGCTTAAGACCTAGTCGCCTCTTCGGCATTGGCAAAATCAAAGAGAGTGGACTATAAGTCGCTCCCAGCACCTAAGGGCTAAGGTATCGAACTGGCAAAAACCTCGGCACCACTTAAGACACAATCGCCTCTTCGGCATGGGAAAAATCCAGGAGTGGACTACGAGTCACTCCTGGAGCCTAAGAAACTGAATCAGCGCTTACGAGCTCGTTGAATTACGGGCCAAAAGGAGAAATCTACTTCCTTCGCCGAATTATCTTCAGCTCGGGAGTGGGGGCAAGTGATGAGGGCGGATTTGGCCCTCCAATGACAATGTGACAGCTGGCACCTCGTGACAAATAGGTGCAGCCTCATGACAACTGAGTGCTAAACTTCCAGGCAGCTCGCTACAGGCAGCTCACCACTTACAGGCAACTCGCTTCCTAATCAGACTGACCACCGCATGACAACCCCAAGGAGCTCACCACCGTACCCCGCATTTTACGGGATTGTGACTCGTAACGGCTATATTAGCTCACCCACTCCCCGGTTTAGATGGGAGCGGGCGACCTTACCGGCTGGTGGCATTTTACCCACCTAACACGCAAACGGATCCCATCACAGCGAGGATCCAGGAACCGCTCCACCAACCCACGGGGACTCCAGTATATAAAGACTTCACCCCCCAGGGGCGAAAGTATGTTTTTAATGTATGTGTATGTGTAATCTTTGCTCTCTAACTCACTGACATCATCTTCAAGCTCTCTACTACTACCTCTGAGTGCTAACTTAGCTATCGGAGTGTCCCTGCCAGGTAAGCCACCCCGGGATCTCTGACTCCTCTCTTGCAGGTAACCCAGTTCTCGTCGTTGCTGACAGTCAAATCGCCTCCAACAGGGAGCCACCGGATTACGCCACATCAATAACCAAATGACTAAACGAATGAGGCACCGAAATGGTAAATGGTTTCCAATGCAAAAGTTGGGTTCCACGCCTACATACTATTCTACTATGCAGTGTGTTTGGTATGGGGCAAACACAGTTTAGTATGAGCACAAAGACCAATTAGATGCAATCCACCTTCCGTCTGATTATCTGACTTGGGATTGATGGCATTGGCAGATTTCTCCGCAACGGGTTGTCCAAG